GACTTTGGAGCGCTGGTTCCGCTCGATCGCTTCTTCAATACAAGCTGTATTGAAGTTGCGTAAGTCCCGCCGCATGCAACTAGAAATCTGTCTGTTCAGTTGCCTATATGCTGTCAAATCTGTTGAAGATTGTAGCTTCATCTCCCGTCTAACAGCCATGAGATTGAGAGTGTGATCTGAGAGTTTTTGTGTTCTTCTGCGGCGTGTCTTGCAGAACTTAGCTCCGACCGCATGGACCGTTTCCACGAGCTTGTCATTCATATCTTCCACTTCATTGCAGTCTTGTAGGCACTGAAAACGGTTTTGTAACTCGAGCTGAAAGGTTTCGGGACTTTGGAACAGAGCACGAGGGGGACGGAGCGTTGACTTCATTAGACGAGACCTCTCCAACTTAACGTTTAGGTTCAGTGTGCCTCTAACCATTCGGTGATCGCTACCAGTTTTCACCCTCGCGATCACGGAGACATCACTGAACAGTTGTCGTCTGGTCGTCATATTGAAGTCAATCTCATTTTTTGTCGAACCGTCGGGACTCGACCAGGTCCACTTCCTGTGGGGCCGCTTCTGGAAGAAAGAGTTCATCATAAAGAGTCCTTCTTTCTCCATGAAGTCGGCCAGCTGCTGGCCCCTTGGGTTCCGTTCCCAAATTCCAAATTTTCCTACTTTCAGCTCACCGTTCTCTTTTGTGCCTAGTTTTGCATTGAAGTCTCCCATTAACACCGTATATTGGGTTTTGGAGGAATGCATGGCTCTAGAGATATCCTCATACATTTCCTCCACCTCCTCATCGGGGTGTGCCGAGGTTGGTGCGTAAACCTGTATGACCTTCAGCGAATACCGTTTGGTGATTCTGAGTATAAGGTACGCCCTCGTCGACATACTCTCGATCTTTACAACGTTGTTTACGAGAGACTTGTGGACGATAAATCCGACACCTCCTTGGAACAGATGTTCGCCCTCCCGGTGATAGAGCAAGTTGCCGGATTTGAGGATTACCGTGTCCTCCCCCTCTCTTCGGACTTCGGATAATCCTATAATATGCCAGCGTAACTTATCTATCTCTTCTTCCAGCTCCGCGATCTTCTCGTCAAAACTCAGGGTGCGTGCGTTGTACGTTGCCAGGTCAAGTCGTCTAAGGTGGCAACCGAACCTCCACCGGAGATTCTTAGCACCCCCTGCCCCGCCGTTAGCATGGTCGCCACCGTATCTAGGAATAGCGGGGCCGCCGGGGATTGGGGGCCGTCTCTTTGTTACTCTCTTCATAGGGGGGTATTTGTCATAGTTGCCACGCGTGGCGAGCGGTTTGGCAACCGCAGTTTTTATTATTGTAATTTCGGCTACTATCAGGAAGATGCTGCTGCCCATCTCCTGCCTGTTTCCCTTTGTTGCCTTTTACGTCACCCACGGGAAGGTATGGGGTAGTGGATATTCTTGACCGCCACTACCCGGCGTGCGTATATTCATATTAATTATAATTATTTTTATTATAACAAATTGTGAAAAATATAAATCATTCACAATTTTACCAGCTTCATTAAAGCAAAGTTCCTCAGACGGTAATTAATCCCAGCCGCCAAATTTCACGAACGCACATCGCGGCAGAACTCCCGATACCATCCACACCATCTGGATGATTGGCGGTCCACCACTGTGCGATTTAGAAGATGTTTTCTTCCTCGCACAACTTCCTTGTGGAATAGTTTACCACCAGGGATTTTTCCGGACCGATACGACTTAGGGACCTTCAAGAAAAGAGCCTACTCCTTTTTAAAAGGCCGGCAACGCATCTGCAATTCCCCTGGTGTTGCGGTTGTTCATGGGCGGCGGTAGTCACTTACCATCAGGTGAGCCGCATGCTCGTTTGCCCCCTCTCATATAAAAAAAAAAAAAAAAAATATTATGTGCAACATATTTTTTTTTTATTATTATTTACATTTGTCAGTGGAACAAATTTGTTTTAATAAAGTTGGTGAAGATTTTAAATAAGAATAAAATTCTGGGCAAGTTTTTTTTCATTTTACCTTTTTTATGAACTGGAACCGTAAATATTTTTTTTTTCAGACGTCCACAATTTATTCAAAATAGGAAAATACTCTTTCTACTGGAGCATTTGTACCAGGAAGACATAAAATATATTCGATTAAAAAAAATTATGTTGAAGATTGTTGTTGCGACAGAATTTCAATACTTCCATCCAACGCGTTTTTGCGGAAACTTTTAAATTATCCCATTCGGTTATTTTTGGTCGGTCCCGCTCTCGCACTGACGTGATGTCTGACAAACTTCATAGATATAAATTTTCGCGCGGTTTCGGAAAACGGGACAATTTTGTGTCCCGGAGCTTAGTTTGGGAACAACGGGATAGGTGACTGAGAAAAGTCAGTCAGAAAACAGTCCTGTTGAAAACGCGACGTATAGTCACTTTACCTCTAACCCTTATACTACTTGTTGATTTTTGTATTACTTTTATATATATATATAATAATAATATTTATTGGCACAAAATAAGGTTTACATTATTAATCCTTAAGACATTTGAACATATGAGTTATAACTTATCTATACAATTTTATGCACTAGCGTCTAAACTAGGCCGAGCCTGTATCTTAGACACTAGTCTCTTCCAATAACACCATTATTTGCAGTTATAAAAGTATACGGCATATTGTGATTTACTTAATCTATTACGTTACAAATTCGCAAATACATTAGGTACCACTTTTTTGCGTTTACCGTCACACTAACTTATTATGCGTATGAAAGGTTAGACTACTATTTATAGGAACTTAAATGCAATAACTGATTATTGTTGTCACGAGGCACGATGTATAACTTTAGCAATTCTACAGGTATTTAACAAAAGTTATGCAATGTACAGTTAACAGACATACACATATTATATAATTATTTAATTCATGGTTTTTGCAAAGGTTTTATATTTTTTGTTTTAAATTATACTTTCACTTAATTAAATATAGTATTATTAGTAGCTATACAAGTGTAATAATCTTTAATTATTATAATTAGAGTAGTTTTAGTAGATATATATTGTTTTGATGTAATATTATTTTAAAGTGACCAAAAAATTTTCAGTTTCTTCTGTATTTAGAGTTTTTAACCAAGATAATAGTAGTTTTTTACATTGATATTTGTTAAGCGGGTAAATTTGTAGAATTTTATTTATTTTATTGTAAAGCATAGGACCTAAGTAGCATTGAAATTTAGTTATAAAATATGTTTTAAAATGGCTGGTAGGACAAACCTTATCTTTCCGGCGATTAATTGTTAATTCGTGATTATATGTAAGTTTTTCATGTTGGAACATAACAGCGTCTTTAATATATAATTGTCTAACTGTCAATACGTCACATTCTGAATATAGTTTGTCTGTGGAATAGCTAAATGGTTTAAATGTCATTATTTTGAGTAGTATACGCTGCGCTCTTTCTAATTTTTTTGAGATGAGTTTTACGAGCTCCACCCCATGAGGTAATACAGTAAGACAAGATAGACTGTGCCAATGATAAGTAAACAGTCTTCAGTAAAGAATAGTCAGTCACGTGTCTTAGTTTTTTGAATATGTATACCAAGCTTCTTGTTTTCCCTGCTAACTGATTGATATGAGGGCACCATGTCAGATTTTCATCCAACACTACGCCTAAATATTTTACTGTGTCACTTCGGTCTAAAGATGTGCAATTGCATTGAATTGAGCTTTTGTTTTTGCAGGTGTGTATTTTGATTTTAAATGTATTTTCAGTAGTAAGTGCTCGTTTATTATTCGCAAACAACATAAATTTTGTTTTAGAGATATTCAGAGTAAGTAAGTTTTGACTGAGCCATTGTAACGTTGCTTGCATTCCTAATTCAGCATGAGTCTTTACTTCATCCCAACTTTTTCCATAGAAGATTAGTGCAGTATCATCAGCGTAAGTAAAAATTTTGCAACTATCTAATTTAAGTTTACATAAATCGTTAAAATAAATTAAAAATAATGTTGGTCCGAGTACACTACCCTGAGGTACACCATAGTTAATTGGAGCATTATTACTAAAATAGCCGTTAATAGTTACCCTCTGGATCCTGTTTTTTAAGTAGTCCTCGAATAAAGCAAGTGCCATCCCTCTGATACCGACTTTTTCCATTTTCCGATTTTATCCATATATATATAAAAGTTACTTTTATATATATATGGATAAGTTAATTGTTATTACGTATATAGAAATAAAATTGAATAAAAATAAAAACTAACATGTTTATTTCATCCTCATCAATTATTGTGGTGAGGATAATGTCAGCCAGCATAAGTAATAAGCAGGCTCAGTTACAAGGTGTTCAGTTCAAAAATTAGTAGGTAGAAGTCCTCCACGTGTGCCTGGTAGTTGCGGGTCCCTCTCGATACGTCTGGAGGGAAGAGCAGATACTGGGCCGGTGCACCCTGGGCGCGGCAGTAATCTTCCTCGAGAAATGAGAAGAAATTCTTACTCCTTGGGGAATGGTACTGCCGCGGCTAATTATTCTGACATGGGGGGGGGGGGGGGGGTCCGTCCCGGACCAACGGTGCGTTCCACTGCGTGACCCTCTGATCAGCAGAGGGCATAGGAGAGGAGTGAGAGCGGGCTCGGTGTGCACTTACCCTGCCTCCGGGCAAACAGTGAAGGATTCATCCTTTGCTGTCACCGCCGGTCTCGTAATCCCAGTATCGAAGTGTCGTGGATCACGTCTCGCGGCTTTGATAGAGACCGAGGGTCTTGGCTTAACCACCCGGACCGCGAGGGAGAAAACCTCTATAAAAAGTTACCCCGAATCTCAAGCGGCGACGCACCGCGAGGGGATGGATGGCTGACGGGGTTCTATGAACAAATCAGTCGTTAGTGCGCTCCTCGCCAGGGTACCTGCAGACCCCCTGGCGAGTAATAAATCCTCTAAATCTGCTTACCTTGGTAAGGGGTCTCTGCCAAGGTGGACCTTTAATTCCCCCATACTCGTGGGTACAAAAAATGGAAAATCAAAACAAACAAAAAACGAAAACCGCCGGCAACGGCAACGTAGAGGAGAGGAGGAACGATGCGGGGACAGAGTCCGACGCCGCATCGAGCAGCGAGGGAGGCTCAGAGAGCTCCCGACAAGTGGAGCCTGGGACCGCGGAGACCAGCAAGTTCTTCCGCAAGCGGTCCAGGCGGGATGGCGACCAGGGGTCGGCATCCGGTGAAGAGGAGGTTTCGGCCCGGAAAATCCCCACCAACAGGCGGGGCGGGCTGAGAGGCAAGGGGAGGGAGCTCTCTGCCAATCAGAGGGCCGAACGAGCGGCAAAGCTTGCCGAGGAGGGGCGCCACCCGGACGATACGGCTCGGGAATCAGGCGAAGAAACAGATGCGACTGGCGGCTCCGAGGTAGAGCGTAAGGCCAGATTCGTAAAGGAGGTGGAGGCCGCGATCAAGGTCGTGGCCAACAAGCAAAAGTCCTCCTCGAAATTCAAGGCCATTCCCGCGGCCTCCGCCTCCATCATGGCGGCTGCGGAAGCCAACTTTGCTGGGGCCGGGCCTAATGCGGACGAGGTGGCGAAGCTGCGGGCGGACGTGGCCCGCCTGACGTCCGCCATGGAGACTCTCCAGAAGGAGAATGAGAAGCTCCGCGCAGACCTGGCCAGTCCACATGAGCCTGCCTCTCGCGCGGCGCCCCAGACGCAGCGCCCAAGCCAGCCCGTGCCGGTGGAGAACCAGGTTCTGAACCTGGTCCGAAAGGAGCTGGCTGCCTTCCAGCACCGGTTCTCCGTGCTGGAGGGCATCGTCCTGCGTCCCCCCCTAGGGGCAAACAAGACGGCGGCGAGGCCGGCAACGGTTTCTTACGCGACGGCCACGGCTGCCGCATCCAGGCCGGGGCCGTCCAGCCAGCCCTCGGGTGGGGCTGCAGTTGCCCCTCCCCCCCCTGAAAAGCCGGCTCCGGCAAAACCGATACCGGCTGAACCGGCTCCGGCTAAGCCGGCGACGGGAAAGAGAGGCAAGGCGAAGGCGAAAAAGGGCAAGGCGGCAGCACAGGTGATGGCTGCGCCAGCCCCAGTGCCTGCGGCGAATGGGCCAGCGCCAGGGGCAAGCCAGCTGCCGCCGCCGCTACCGCCCCCCCCCCCCAGCTCCCTACACCTCCCGCGGCAGAAGCCGGTTGGCAGGTGGTCGGGGACAAACAGAAGGGGAAGAAGGCAGCCAAAAAGGCCAAAGAGCAGGAGCGGCAGCGCCAGTTCAGGGCGCGCAAGATCGCGGCTAGGCTCCGCGCCCCGAAGGCTGCAGCTGTAGTGATTACACTACAGCCGGACGCGGAAAAGAAGGGCGTTACCTACCGCGATCTGCTCGCGAAGGCGAAAGAGGCGGTGGATCTCGGGGAGCTCGGGATCACTGGGGGCCTCCGGCTCAAAGTCACCCAGACGGGGGCCCGCATGCTGGAGATCCCCGGGGAATCCAGTGGCGCGACTGCGGACGCTCTGGCTGCGAAGCTCAGAGCGTCCCTGAACGCGGACGAGGCCCGAGTGTCCAGGCCCGTCAGATGCGCAGACCTGCGCATCATGGGTCTGGACGACTCGGTATCGGAGGAGGAGCTGGTGGCCGCCGTTGCCAGGTCCGGGGGGTGCACTACTGACCAGGTCAGGTCAGGCGCCATACGCCCGGACCAACAGGGTATGCATGCCGCCACGGTGTGCTGCCCTGTTACAGCGGCCAAAACCATAGTGGAGGGCCGAAGGCTTCTGGTGGGCTGGGTCTCAGCGCAGGTTGAGCTGCTGGAGCCCAGACCTCTGAGGTGCTACCGCTATCTCGTGGGGCATCACGTATCAGTGAAATGCGCCTCGGAGGTTGACCGCAGTGGCCTCTGCTTCCGTTGCTGTCAGCCCGGACACATATCGGCGACCTGCTGCGCTACGCCACACTGTGATGCATGTGCGGCGACCGGCAAGCCAGCCGATCACTGGGCCGGAAGCAGGGCCTGCGTGTCACCCGCCAAGGCCAAGGCCGCGGGTAGGGGAGGGCCCTCCTCCGCCGCCACCTCCTCTATGGCCACCGCCGCAGCTGCAACTGCCGCCGCCGCCGCTGTCACTGTCGCCGCCGCCGCCGCCGCGACACCGACGCCTGCAGAGGGGCGCCCCGTGGAGGAAGCTGAAATGGAATGCCTATAACGGCCCCATTAAGCTTCCTCCAGGCGAATATCAACCACTGCGCCTGCGCTCAGGATCTGTTGCTCCAGAGCATGGCGCAGTGGTCGATTAACATCGCTGTGGTCGCTGAGCCGTATTTTGTCTGGCCTAGGAAGGACTGGGTGGCGGACCTTAACGGCTCAGTGGCCATCATTTCTTCGGCCGCCGCCGGTACCCCGACCCTTGAAGGTGTCAGGAGGGGTCAGGGGTGCGTAGCAGCACGGTTCGGGGAGTTCGTCGTTGTGGGGGTGTACTTCTCCCCGAACCGATCTCTCGCCGAGCTCCACAACTCTCTTGCAGAGCTGAGAGCAGTCGTCGTCGGAAGCTATCCCCTCCCCGTGCTTGTCCTCGGGGACTTTAATGCCAAGAACTTGGCTTGGGGTTCTCGTCGTACAGATGTGCGGGGTAGGATGGTGGAAGACTGGGCTCTGGAGACAGGCCTGGTCGTCCTAAATCGGGGTTCTATCCCCACGTGTGTGCGGATGCAGGGCGAGTCGGTGGTGGACATTTCGTTCGCTAGCCCCGCTCTGTCGCCGCGTGCCATTGACTGGCGAGTCATGGAGGGGGTGGAGACCTACTCCGACCACCGGTACATCCGGTTTGACGTCTCCACCCAGCCCTCGAGCGCGCCAGTCCAACAGGCCCCGAGTGGTCCGCGTTGGGCGCTGAAGCAGCTGGACCGGGAGCTCCTCCTGGAAGCCTCGATCGTGCAGGCCTGGGTGTCATCACCGGATAGGCCTGCCGACGTCAATGATGAGGCAGGGTGGTTCCAGGAGGCCATGTCCGAGATATGTGACGTGGCAATGCCCCGCGTCCGGCCAGGAAGCGCCCGCCGTCAGGTGTATTGGTGGTCACGTGAGCTGACGTCTCTGCGCGAGGCGTGTGTCGCTGCGCGGCACCTGTACGCCAGGCATCACAGGCTCCGCATTCGTCCACCGAATGCGGCAGCCATTGAGGCGGAGCTGTACGATGGATACAGAGCGGCGAAGACCGCCCTCCGGCAAGCTGTCATGCGGGCCCGGGATCGGGCTCGTGAGGGATAGATGCTGGAGACTCTCGACAGAGATCCGTGGGGGCGCCCTTACAAGATGGTGCGGGATAAACTCCGCACCTGGGCCCCCCCGCTGACGCAGAGTCTCCGGCCTCAGCTCGTGGAGGACGTGGTGAGCGCTCTGTTTCCTGCGCGAGGGGAACATCCGCCCCCGCCTGTGGCTCCGCCACCTGCGGTGCCGGAAGTGGACCACCAGGACGACGACGACGGCATCCCGGAAGGGACCGGGGTAGACCTGAGAGTGGCGGTATGTAGGCTCAAGGCCAGGAATACCGCCCCAGGACCCGATGGCTTGCCTGGCAAAGCCTGGGTCCTGGCCTCGGAGGCTCTCGGGCCCCGACTGGAGGGGCTCCTAAGCGCATGCTTGGAGAGAGGCCAATTCCCGCTTCGTTGGAAGACGGGGAAGCTGGTCCTCATTCGGAAGCCCGGGCGCCCTGCGGACTCTCCGTCCGCATACCGGCCCGTGGTGCTGCTCGACGAGGTGGGCAAGCTCTTTGAAAGAGTCATTGCAAACCGCCTCGCCGAGCACCTTGCGGGGACGGGGCCGGATCTTGCGGAACACCAGTTTGGTTTCCGCAAGAGGCGCTCTACGGTGGACGCCATCATGCGCGTGAGAGCCCTCACGACGGGGGATGCAGTGGCCAGGGGGGGGGGGTTGTTTTGGCGGTGTCTCTCGACATCGCCAACGCCTTCAACTCCATGCCCTGGAGCTGCATTAGGGAGGCACTCCGGTATCACCGGGTGCCGACCTATCTCCGTCGTATAGTCGGGGACTATCTGACGGATAGGGCCGTCATCTACCCCGGTCGCAACGGTGAGTGGAACCGGCGAGAGATGTCGTGCGGTGTCCCACAGGGTTCGGTTCTGGGGCCGCCCCTGTGGAACATCGGTTACTGGGTGCTGCGCGCCGACCTCCCTACCGGCGTCAGCGTAGTTTGCTACGCTGACGACATGCTGGTACTGGCACAGGGGGGGTCGTACGAGGCGGCGGCGGAAACTATGACACGCGGGGTTCCGATAGTCGTTGAGAGGATCCGGCAGCTGGGTCTTGAGGTGGCTCTGCACAAGTCCGAGGCCATGCACTTCCATGGTCCTCGGAACAGGCCACCACCGGGATCCTCAGCGATGGTAGGAGGGGTATCCATCGGCGTCGAGTCGACGTTGAAGTACCTAGGACTCGTCCTCGACGGCTGATGGAACTTCGTTGAGCACTTCCGACGTTTGGCTCCCAAACTGGAACGGACCGGGGCTGCCTTCAGGCGGCTCCTGCCGAACCTGGGGGGGCCAAACGCCTCCTGCCGGAGGCTCTACGCGGGGATTGTGCGGTCCATAGCCCTCTACGGGGCCCTGGTGTGGGCGCGTGGTTTGGCGCGGCTTGCCGTCCACCACCTGAACGCGCCCCAAAAGGTGGTTGCCGTGAGAATGGTTCGTGGCTACCGCACGATCTCCCGTGAGGCAGCATGCCTCCTTGCCGGATTGCCGCCGTGGGATCTGGAGGCGATAGTCCTCGCGCGCCTGCACGAATGGCGCGCGGAGGCACTATGCCGCGGGGAAACCCCGCTGCCGCGGCAAACTGTTGTGCAGCGGACAGACTTCCGGCATGATCTCATGGTGACATGGAGAGAGCGACTGTCGCAACCCCGTGCTGAGCACGCCACTATAGCGGCGATAAGACCCCTCTTTGAGGAGTGGCTTGAGAGACGCCACGGCGTCCTCACCTTCCGCCTGATGCAGGTCCTCACCGGACACGGTGTGTTCGGGAGGTTCCTGCACCGAATCGGGCGGGAGGAAACGCCCGGGTGCTCCCACTGCGAGGATCGACCGGAGGACACGGTGGAGCACACCGTGGAGGTGTGCCCTGCCTGGGCGGAGCACCGCCGTGTCCTCGTAGCGGCGATAGGCGGCGGCGACCTCTCGCGTCCGGCCCTGGTCGAAGCCATTGTCCGGAGCGAGACGGAATGGGATGCCGTCACCACCTTCTACGAAGCAGTGATGCTAGCGAAGGAGGTGGCGGAGCGGGAGAAGGAGAGAGCAGCAGCTTTCCTTCCCGGCCGCCGCGGGAGATGCCCGGGGCGTCGGGGGCTACGTCGTGGCCCCCGGCCACCGTAGGCCCGGGCCTGTGGACGGCGAGCAATGGGTAGCTCGCCGTCCGTCCGTCTAACGACGACAGGCCGTGTCGACGGCGCGTTTTGTTCCACGCGCGCCTCAAAGAGCTGTCAGCAGCGTGAAGGGGCCCGCAAGGGCCGACGCCTGCCGGGGCTGCGGGCTGTTCGAAAGAGATACCGCGGCTCCGGAACGTAAGGGCACTGAAGGAACACGGATGGTTTTTAGTCAGTAAAAGTCTGACACTCCCTTCCGCTCCACCCAGAGCGAAAGGCGTCATTTGATGATTTTCCATCCACAAAAAAAAAGAGGTATATTACTTTTCAATACGTGACACGTAAAAAGTAACAATAATCGAAAAACCCATTTGCGAAACATCCTATCTATTTACCTATAGAGAGTAGGTATCTTTTAAATTCACTTTTTTCAATGCCTCATTTTCTCATGTTAGATTAGATACCTTCCCGGGCGTTTGAAATGAATGGTGTCATTTTTATTAATTAGATAATATATGAGATACTTAATTCTAATATAATGCAACTGATATAGCTAATAAAAAAATGAAAATATAAATAATATGAAATAGTTTATTGATGTTGAAAAATAATACTACTTTCGTACAGTAGGTGGTGTCTGCAGATTTCGTACGCGATATATTGTAGCGAGAGTCGGCGGACTGAATGCTCAAGGTCTTTCGCTAGGAGTAGCGCCTTAATAAAAATCTATTTTAATATGGAACATACAGTCTATCTGCGATATCTTCGCTAATTGTAAAACCATTTTAACTATGCTTATTGGATACATATGCATTATATGGATTATGCCTTTAGGGTGGTCCCATAATATTAGAAGCAAAATTTTAGTTATTGAGATTAAAGTCGTTTGTTTCTACAGTGTTTACCTTTGTATTATACAGACAACATTGTTATTACAGAGACAGTAATTAAAAAAACTTATTTAAGCGTACGCACATTAAATTTAAAGAAAACTTTAAGCGTTATTTAGTTTAAAACAGGGAATAGTTCCGCAGATGTTTCTAAAAACATCAATCAATGAACCCAGCTTAACCAGATTTAAAGTCCTCGTTTGAAAATAACTTGTTTGTTGGGCTATAAAATGTGCAATTGTGTAAAATGTGTAAATGTGTAATGCATGCATGAATGTAACGATGCAAACGGGCTCACAGTCCATTTGATGTTAAATGAATACTGTATTGTGACTAGGGTTGCCAACTCTTATGTATAATAAATGAACCTATAATATTAGGGTTCCGAAATCTATTCTAAAAATATAGATTGATTGAAATAACTATATCTTAATAAAAACTAACAATTGCGTGAGGTTGTTAATAAAGTTTTAATGCAGCAAAAATATTTATTTAAAAATAAAATATATAATTAAAACATTCATCCATTTATCGATTACAGCCAATAGAAGTCCACTGCTGAGATTGCCTCATATGGCGGATATTGCAATAGTTACTACACTTAGCAGGCAGGGCGGCAACTTGAATTTGTGTGCCTCTGTCGCCTCTTACGACTCCCACAGGACGACATGGGATAGTGGATTTTCTTACATTGGCATACTCGGTCAGCATTTGAAACATTCTATCAAATGTAATTGTTTTTCGCACACAATATATAGTAACGCAGATTGCATGAATTTGTGCAAGTGGCTTAAGACCATATTTTGTAGCATTCTTAGGAGGTGGCCTTAGTTGATCAGGTTGTGAAGAGCTGTAATGATGGTGATGATGATGACGATAGTAACGTAAGTGCACCGTGCATGTAATCAGTGTCCTCTAGTCAAAAAGAGACTTCAGATTAAC